GAATGCAAACTTACCTAGACATTTTTTTACGTGTATTTTATGCAAAATCAGAAACTAAACAAGTCTAAAGACGTAGTACACGCTCGCCTTATAATAAACAAACTCACTAAGTCTCTATAAGAAGATGCGCGCGACAATTTTGTAGTGTGGATATTAGAAATGATGCCTACTACCAGTAAGACATCAATTACATATTAAATTGGTGCGTGTAATTCTCTCTAGGCTTCTTTAAACATCTACTGGGACTTATATAACTCATTGGGACAGGAAGGGTTAACTAACAGCATTCCAGTACTTGTAGTATCCAGTATTTTTAGTGCAGTATTTGTAATGTATTCCAGTGTTCATAGTAACCAATATTTAAAGTGTAGTATTTGTACTGCATTCCAGAGTTTGTAGTAACTAGTATTTCTAGTGTTAGTATTTGTAGTTTATTTCAGTGTTTGTAGTATCCAGTATTTCTAGTGTAGAATTTGTAGTATTAACCAGTAGTATGCAAGTGTTGTAGTATTAACCATTGGAGTCTCGGGAATAAATTTCTGGCAAGCTTCATCCTGCTTCGCTCCGGCTGACTGTCATGAAAAATCACGGCTTCTGTACAAAGATATTAAAACAACAGCACTTCCAAACCAGAGTCCGAAGATCTCTAGTAGTCTATAAGACAGAATTGTATTTTGGGGATTCATTCTATGAACTAAGCCATAATAAGAAATAAGAGAGAATTGTATTTCGCGGGTCCATAATATGAACTAATCCATAGTAAAAAATAAGACAAAATTCTGTTTCGGGTTTCCATAATATAAACTAAAACTTGGTTTGAAATAATACAGAATTGTATTTTCACATCTATAATATCAGCAGCTCAGTGAAAAATCAAAACTCCTGTACAGAGTGACTCTAAACCAGTATTTCAAAATCGGAGTCCGCAGAACCTCAGGCGTCTACAAGACAGAATTGTATTTTTGTGGTCCATACTATGAACAAATTCGTGGTAGGAAACAAGACATAATTGTATTTCGGGGGTTCACAATATCAACAATTAGCTGTCGCGAAAATTCGAAGCTCCTATACGTAGTAATTGTAAACAAAAATTGGGGTCTGTAGAACCCCAGATGTCCTTAAAAGAGAATTGCATTTCAGGAATCCATAATATGAACTAAGCCGTAAGGTAGACTTGTATTTCAGGGATCCATAGTATCAACAGTTGATCGAACAGATAAAAAATCGAACTTTCTATACAGAGTGATTCAAAATCAGCATTTCCGAACCGGGATCCGCAGAAGATCCAAGAGTCCACAAAACAGAATTGTATTTCGGGGGCCATATTATAAACTAAGCCCTAACAGAAAATAAGACAGAAATGTATAAGTCGGTACTATAATTAAGCCATAATATGAAGTAAGATCGAATTGTATTTCAAGAATCCGTGATATGAATTAAACTGCAAGACAGAATTGTATTTCGGAGATAATATCAACAACTGACTGCCGTGAAAAATCAAAGCTCATATACAGAGTGATTTTAAACCAGCATTTCCTAACTGGATTCCACAGAATCCCAGGGATCCAGGAGACAGAATTTATAAAATGATGTCACAGGAAACCACTTTTTCAGAAATTCGCGGGTAGAAGATACTCGTATTTTCTGGGACATTCTTTAGTTAATGGAGGAAAAAATCTCTTCATAGCAAAGTCCACGAAGAAATAGTTATTTGAAGCACCAAACTAATCTACAGAAAGTCAGTCAATCAGAGACAAGTCGTTTCATTCTGTAGCAATTAATCGGTATCGTTGTGATGAAATTTATTGCTTGTGTTAACGAAAGTTATTGTTCAAATGAACTATGTTTTCTTAAGTATCAAAATGCAGCAGTGGCTCCTGGGGTGAGCGGTGGTACATCTAAAATTAAAAAAAAAATAATTCTAGTTTCACAATTTACTATCAGATAGTCTGTCTTTGATGCTTAAAATTTAAAATAACTGCACAAATACTAAATATACATACACTATTTCTGTAAGTAAAGATACGTTGGAGTTTTACCAATTAAAGTTTTCAAAATTTGTAATTTACATTTTTGGTATTATGTTGGAATTACTTCATTATTAGTTTTTAGTATCGTACAAATAAATATTTCATTTAGGAATATTACATATGGGTATATAGGGGCCCACATACTTAAAGTTAGAACATAAGGGTTCTACAAGTAAAAAAAGACTTCCAAACTTGTTCTAAGCTTTAGCAAAAATATAAATGAGTTTTGAGCCGACCGATTTAAGCAGGTTTTGTAATGGAATTTGTGTGCTCGGGAAAATGGCGCGTTATGAAGTTGGAGATTGAAAAATGGTCCCTGTTCGCCATGTGGTTGTTTTACGAAATAAGCCTAAAGCTCGCCGACATGCGTTCTATCTATGAGGCTGCGGACGGAAAAGGAACAGCTGCTCAATGAAAGCACTCGATCATTCTCTGATTATCCGCTTCATTTCAGCCACAGTTCCATTGATCAACGTCTTCAAACTGTGTTTCGAGAGTCAAGATAAAAATTCGGCATGAAAATCATAAAGCACTCGCACTTGTTGACTAGTGGCTATTAACTAAGAAATGTAAAGTTTGGTTTTACTTTATGGCAAAGCACGCAAGGGCGGTCTGCCTAAGGAGAAGGATGCCTTCTTGGAGGACTTTCTAAGGGAAATTGGCTCGTATAACACGTTACACGCTGTAAAACTACGAGAACGTTCATACAGCCAGCTCGTTCACCTAGATCGAACTCAGGTTGAAATTACCAGTCCTTAGCGACTTTACCGCTTGGCCGGTGGTGGGCAAGCTATATAAAAATAAATTTAATTATTCTGAAAATTAATCGGAAGCTTCATGTGTGGGCTGTCGGCTTTCGTACCGCGTCTTCAACAGTGACATACGTGTGAGAGTAGCTCCGGCTTTTCGATTGTTCAGTCGATGAGTGTGCAAAAATGTTTCTCACACAGCTATAAACATTTTAATGGAAAAATTTTCTCGATTTGTTTGGCAACAAAAACAAAAAAGAGAAACAAATTAAATGTAGAATATGAAATACGATTGCGGATAATATCAACAGAGCTAGACTTCGAGAGCTTGTGTTAAAAAATTACAAGCACTCCCCTGTCACAAGATTAGTGACACTTGGAGCAGAAGTTATTGCTCTTAATAAGTAACATACATTAATTTTATATTAGAATTTTTTTAATAAAAAATGGAATACTTTCATTTAATTATCTTTATACAAAGTGCTTATGTTAATCTACTTCAAGTATTATTTTGAAATATATTGTTCAAAGAGTGTGATAGGGTTACCAGAAAAAACCTTATTGTTCTAAGGGTTCCGTGAGTCCACAAGTTTTGAAGCCCTCTGCCATTGATAACATTCATATCGGGAGGGTAGCTATGCATTCTGCTCGACCATTCGTACGGGGAAGAACGATTTACTCCTGCGGAATGTCTTTATTCACAACTCAACAATGCCTTGTGCCTCCCAAACTAGTCATTTCCGCACACACATTCCATTACAAAATCTGCGTATTTCTGTCTCTTCTACCTTTTAAACATATTTGCCAAGTAGTTTAGAAGAGGAAACAGTACATAACGGGAGATCAATGCAGAGCCCGTGAAAGCTCTGTATTGACTCCATGGGGATAGATGAAATTTTAAAGGGCGTCAATGGTGATTAAGGCATCCACTGCGGGTCCCTTAATCATCAGCCATTGATCGGCATAATCAAAATCCCATTAAGTACTAAAAAGTTATTAATAAACCTGAAAAATAAATGTTTACTTATAAAAAGCTACATTGTGTAGTAAGGAAGAAATCGTATGAAATAAATATAAGGGGAAAATATAATAAAATTATGATGCAAAAAGAACTGATTTCATTGAAAGAGGAAATTCAGGCACAAGTCTTATTCAAAATACATGGTACGCGAAGTTTTCGAATTTAAAAGCCGTCCGAGAGAAATATACACAATCAAGGTAGCTACAGAGTCAACATTATTGACTTTTCTCTCATCTAGCGTAGTGGAAGCAAGCTTTAGTCAACTCAGTAAGTTACTAAGTAAAACAGAAAACAGGTTTGATGAGGTGATAAGGATTAACGTAAGCAATTTCATGCCAGATATTTAAAATATTGCATCTATTCATCAGCACGAGCCATCATATTATTTAAAATCGCATTTTCATGCCATTCAAATCTGTGATTTGGTTTCTGAAAAGTTTTTCATATTTCTAAAATCAGAAGTAGTAATTCAAAAATTAGAAAACATAACTCTAATGAACCATTTTTTTTCAAAACTTTTGTTTATATTAGTCTAATTGCTATCTTTAAGTTACTGATGTACGAATTACTTGTTTTATAATTACGCTACATGCTGCATATTATAGAGAAAAATGTAAGGAGATTGTTGAAGAAATCCATTATTTTAAAAGGGCTCAGCGAATGAAAAGGATTGGGAATTATTATTTTACAATCCCCTGTATGTGGAAAACTACGATATCAGGTGAACAAGCCAAATAATTGCTGAAAAGCGATTTTTGCAAGTGTCGAGAATACTGATTCTCTTTCCTGAAGAAATGCATCACGATTGTCGTTATAAAATCGGAAATTATTGAACAACTAATCTTTCTAAGAAAAAAATTAACCAGGTATTTTTCGTGGATTGAACATGCTTTTCAAATTCCTCACTCATTACCACGCAAAAATAGACTTCGTAAGCTCTCTAAAGGTATTCTTAAGTATTGTTTACAAATAAAACAATTTTATACAACTCCTTCTAACCATGTGATAGGAATTCATGTTAATTTATATGGAGGATTCGTAAGTATCTTTCAAAAATTGGAAACTGTTTTTTGGTTCTGAATTCGGTTTCTTAGATCATCATTTAGCCTGATATAGATTTAGTAAATTCAAATCTTACTCTGGGTTTATCAGTAAGCATTCTAAATTTGTTGCAAAATTTCACCTAAAATGTTTTTTTAGATGTCATCAAAAAAGAGGGAAGAACTTACAAGAGCTTTAAACGATGCCAGAAAAAAACTGGAGACTGTAAGTTATGTCTCAAAATTATTGCGTTTAATAACATTCGTTTTTATATTTTGAAGCGCCATATACTTTATGGAATATACAGAGTGATTCAAATAGATCCAAACTCAAAGTTTTTGAAAACAATTGGGAATAACTGGACAAATATTGTCTAGAATACCTTCTCACCTTATACATCATATCACTGTGGCTATGATGAGCTAAAATGTGAAAGACCTTGTAGCTGGTTACATGATATCATATGCTGTTCTGCCTTGCATTGGGTCATCTGAAGCTGGATATGCTTGGCAGCAAATCATAATGTCACTCCATCAGCTTGACTTCAGATATTCGCGGCTTAGTAAGAAAAAATTCTTCGTCAAAGAAACCCCGTGAAAATAAGTCCGCGCTGGTCATGACCTTAATAGCCATAGATTAGTATCCTAAGGGACTATGATAGTGTTCTAAGCCTATGATAGTGTTCTAATCCCTCACAAATCATAGGCTCCTAATTTTCAGGTCCACATTGTGTGGGTCCTAATCTGTCCAGAATCTTCGTGTCTTTATTTGGCAGGAATGTTAGTGTTCTAATCTTCAGGTCCAAATTCTGTGAGTCCACTAATGGCCACAGATTAGGATCCTAAGGCAGCGGCTATTAGAGTCCTAATCTCTCAGGAATCACAGGGTCGTAATCTTCAGGTCCACGCTCTAGGGTCCCAATCTGTGAAGAATTAGTGTCCTAATTTGTCAGGAACCTTAGGTTTCTAATCTTCAGGTCCACACTCTGTTCTGCAATCTTTCAAGAATCTTAGTGTCCTAATTTATCAGGAATCTTAACGTCCTAATTTGTCAGGAATCTTAGGGCCCTAATCTTCATGATACGAAAACAGAATTTTAATTTCAAGAATTTTAATGTTCCAATTTTTCACGCATCTTAGAATCCTGACTTGCAGGTTCAAACTCTGTGGTACCTAATCTGCAAAACAATTAATATTGTGCGGTTAGCATTAATTCCTGCGGGGAAAATTGTTTCGGTTTACAAGCATTTTAGTTGACGAATGGCCTTTAGAAGAGAGTTAAGTTTGTGAGACTAGGTTTTTACTGCATATAAAATAAACCATTTGCAGCGATCCAATATTTCAGAACATTATGTCATGTTTATGCAATGGTTACGAGACAAATAAAATGTTGAGAAGTGTTCGACAACTTCTGTCCATGTTTTCTTAATCTACATCAAAAACGTAGGTTCTGTATGAATCCCTCTGTACTATTCGAAACCCTAACATTATTATAATATTATTTTCTATTAGATTTGCTTTTACTTTGACTCCCAATTTAACTATTAGATACTTCTCTAATGGCATGATGAATGAAAATCATTTTTGCGACGCTCTAACACTTGAGGATTTTCCGTAGCAATTAATTTTAAATGTTATTCTCAATTTTCGAATAACGATTAAGCAGTGACTTACTAGAAAAGTAGTTAACAAGAAATTTATATCATTTTTGGGGTTGGAAATGTCTACCCCTCCTACAGGAATAAAAAATATGCTTTCGTGGCATTGCTTCTAGGTCATTAATGCATCAAGATTTATAATGCATTTTCCCTTGTCTAACCTAATTTCCTGTTAGATGCCATTTTATTTTATCGGTAATCTTGGTGCTTCATATTGGCAATGAATCTATAGTAGACCTCCAGATGTATCCCGAATTCTAATTATATGGACCATTCAACAGCCGAGCTGAAAAATTGTTGAACACTGGCAGTCCGACTGGCTGCATGAGAATTTTCCTTGTTTTTCCCTGTGTAACTTAACTTAAATACAAGTCCGTTTTCCTTATAAAATTCTCCACTTCTGTTACTAGTGACAGTTCTCGCGTGCTTTGTCGTATTCTTAGCAATCCAATCCAGTTATATGAATCATTTGCTTTCGTTTCTAAGCCAAGTAAAATTTAACTCATTTTCAGTTCATTTATTTGAATTTAGCTTTTTGAATTAAATGAAATATATAGTACAGTGTAGTAAAGTATATATTTTTGTAAAAGTTATTGAATTAACTCAACTTAAATTGAGTATATGGACGACATATCGACTGGCCTAGAGAATGCGGCAACCTGTAAACATTAACGGCAAAGCGCACTGTGTACAGGCTTAGGACCGCACCCTCGAGGTGCATGCTCTCAAAATTTGGGCGGAAGCTTAACGGTTAGCAATGTCCGGCGATACCTAATATATAATAATGGTGGAGGCTTTGCTTCAAACTTATTTGCATGGTGTATATTGCCTACTGTATACAGGCCTCCTGTTTGTATTCTGTATATTCTGTAACTGCGTGTTATATATTGCTAATCTCATATTGTCCGCATATTGTATATGTTCTAACTGTGTGATATATTTGTTAAATGCATGTTGTCTGCAAATTGTATATTGCATATACTCTAGTAGACTTATTGCTTGCATGCTGCATATTGCATATATATGCATATCTTGTCATATGTTATGCATACTTGCATATGTTATCTTGCAGTATGTTATGCATATCTTGTACCTACAGTTTGTCTGCTGTAATTGTATATATTACAGCAGATTACTGTTTGCGTGCTCTATATTGCATATATTGCAGTAGACCTATTGTTAGCGTGCTGTATATTGCCATGTGTATATGACTTATTGTTTTCATACTGTATATGCTGTCACTGCACGACATTAAACGCGTACTGTTTGCATGCTGTGTATTGCTTATATTGTATCAAACCTACTGTTTGTGTGCTGCAACTGCATGTATTGTAGTAGACCTACTGTCTGCATGCTGTATATTGCATATATTATACTAGACCAACTGTTAGTGTGCTGTATATTGCCCTCTGTATATGGCCTACTGTTTGCGTACTAGTTTCCCCGACCAGGAATGACTACTGGCCTGGCTCGAGATACGTTAAACGTATGTAGTACATATCTTGATATTACGTTAAACATTATGTACATAAAGCCTTTCATTACATCATCATCCCTGCAGATGCCTTTTATTCATATTTCAAAACAAAGGTTAAATAATCACATCGAAATGGCTTACGTCATTTCCATTATTCTTGTTACATTTGTATTTGGCTTTTCAACTGTTTGGGTACTGTATATGCTCTAATTGCGCGCTCCATAATGGCTTTTTTCTTTTCTTTTACTCGCTAAGTCTCATTGATTAGCGAATTAATTTTACTGAAGACAGCGGTAAGAATTTATTAGTTGTTTTACTTTAATAAAAACTAACTAGTTGAGAATTTTTGTTGAAGTGAACTATGAAAAAATAAATAAATAAATAAAATATCTTATTCGCATAACAATTTATGCACTACCAGTTACAGGTGATATCTGGAGTTCTACTATAATTAAGTTATATTTTCCTTTTTAGTCTTTTATGTAAAATTATGATTGAAGTGTGTTAGCTGTCAGCTATTTTCTCCTCTTTTTTTTTTTTTTGGCAACAGCTCGGATACAAAACAGGACTGAGTTCAAGCAAGAGTGTTGGCGATTTGAGCAATGCTGGTGACATTGCAGATATTCACGAGAAGCCAAGATTTACCCTGAAAGGTAAGGAATTTTGTACATAAACATATGCTCGTAATAGATATTATTCAAAGATCATAGTAGGCATTACCATTGTCGCTGGAGCTTTCGCGTATTTCATTGATTCCTTTGTTTAATATTTTGGTGATCTACAAAAAGGTGTTTACATTTTTTAAAACGGTTTCGAGACCATTTAATAAATGTAAATGTTCAATGTAAACAGAAATTAATTAAAACACATATTTTATTAAATGTTAGACCTGATAGTCTTTTTTCGGATCTATAATTCTGTATCACGTGTTTCATGATCTAATGGTTTTGCGTAAAATTTCCAGGGGTATTGATTTCCATTCCTTTTCCACTACTTTCCAGAGTTCATCAATTGTGATGGGTGTGAACATAGAAGGAGCTCTTTTCTTGTATCAATCTTCATTTTTTCAAGAATGCAGTGTTACTTTCCGAAGTATGACTTGTTTCTTTGTTTTGGCGAAATTTCACTCTTTGAAAGACACTGGGGTAAAGAAACGGAATTTCTTCTGTAAATACCGCATGTCAGAATTTCTCTTCATATTAGGATGAGTTGATTTCAACTTTTTTCCCCCTCTCAGGGTATTTTAAATTTCCCATTGTATGAGAATCCTGCAACGATCACAAAGCACATAATGAAACTTTTTTTTTTTTTTTTTTTTTTTTTTTTTGGCTTTGACTGAATTGTACATTTCTTTCTCTTTGTTTTCTATAATAAATAAACTTTTTTCCGGCTATTTAGGTAAGGCCGAGCTCTTCATCAAGGGTCACGATGTATTTTCATTTATCTCCTACTAAATAATTTTTATGTAGGGTTATATTTATTGTTCTTCATTGAATCACATGCCTCGGCAAAAGCTGGTGAACATAAAGTGTTTTAGCTTTTGTAAGTTGTAAAACTTTGTTTGATATTTTATTTATTGTTGCTACAAATGTATTTAAAAATTTTGTAACTGAATTCTAATGATGATTTAACTTTAGAAACAGTACGTACTTTTTTCGAGTATACGTTTGAAGTATTTTGTTTTTTTCATGTAGAGGTAGTGATGGACGGTTATCCCTTTTCCGATTAATAACGTTGCTTATTCTGCTCTTAAATTTTAATACCATGTACTTCACGATGTTTTTGAATTATGGAAAAAGATTCCGAAAGCGCAAAAGCATATCCTTTGATGATACAAGATGGGCTTTCGTGGACGTGGTGCATATGGGTAGTGTATTCTGTATGAGAATAGAAGTCCTATGATTTATTTTCTGTACTTGTCTTCAGTAGCGGCCTTGGCTAGAATGTTAATTTGTCGCTGTTTCGGAATTGGCATGAAAACAAAGGTTACCGATCAGCGCATGTGCGAGAAACAAACAATTACCTATCTGCGCATGTGCCAAAGACAAACAGTTACCGATCTAACTGGTTTTTCGGAAGTCCACTGTGCCAATATCCGATGTAGTCTTCTGATATGTTTATATATGTTTCTTTAAATAAGTTGCTTTTGCAATTACATTAAATACGGTAATTAATGCCCATGTTAAATCATTTCTCTTGAATTATGGGTATTTACATATTAAAGTAACCATCTTGGCTCAGTTTGGCGATTTTTTACAGCTAAAAGGTAAAAGGTACTTATCGAGTACAAGTTGACCGTTTTCGTGCCTTTTTGTTAGAAAGAATCCCAGATAATCGATATTTATCGTAAGTCGGTAAACATTATCAACATATGAAAAGAAAACATACTTTGGCAATTTAATATACAAATTTTAATTATAAAATAAGAATTACGTGATACATTGAAAATAAAACACTTACATTCGGCTTCAAGTTTTGCTGTAATTTTTTTGCGCTAGTTCTCTACCCAAGTACACAGCGATTTGTTTTCGCTTAAAAGCATCACAGAATTGCGAAGATTTGGCTTCGTGCAAACCTCGGCAATAGGGGCTATCTAAGAAATTCATTTCTTCTAATTCCGTTGAGAAAATTTTCATCAAAATTCTGTATTATTGCAGAAATTTTACTGAAATTTCTTCCATTTTTTGTATATTCCATAAAGCAGGCAAAACTAAGGCAAAAAATATCACGCTTTGTTTGTAAAATAAGTTCGAACTTAGAATAGAACAAAAAGGAGTGTGTACGAAAATGGCACGTAGCTTGATTGAAGGAGGATTATGAGGAGGATTCCCGGAAGATTGGTTATACGCATGGCTGCCAGAGTTTGGCAAATTCTGAAAATTTTATGATTTCCTCTAAGGTCGTTGCAATAAATGTGAGCACGGAATAATGCTGTTATTTTAAATAAATTGTTAACAAAATTGTATCAAATAACTGTAATAAATATAAATTTAAATTGAATTCCTTGAATTGAATTGAATTGAAATTGAAATTGAGTTCCTGGAATTGAATGCATGTATGTATTAAGTAATTTATGTAGGTATCGAATGAATTACAGTTTATAGTAGTAATTTCTTTCTTTCTTTCTTTCTTTTCCGATTTAACATTTGGTGACAAGTCTGGAGTCGGAATTACGCCAACTCCATTTTCTGTCACTAAGGACAATACAGAAGGCAATGCCCTCTTTTCTCTTTGTTACTGTAAATATTAAAACATCCGGACTTAACTGATAACTTTTGAAATCTTGCAGATAGCTTGATCGACATGAAGAGAAGTACATCTTTTGGAGATATTACGGGAAGCAGTTTTCCCAGAAGGAGGCTGCCTTACACCCCTCAACCAGGTAAAGTGCGTTAATTCTAAATATCCTTTTTAAATACGATCGAGAATAATCGACGTTATGTCTTCTATTAAATACTAAAGAAACTGTTTCTATGTATGTATGTTTTACCCTTGTATTGTGGACTAGAGATTTCGAACAGCCGCAGTCCAGACCAAGACATGTTCCCCTCGAACCCCGAATTGTGAATTTCCTGTTGTGTTTTTTTACTTAACTCATGTTTTGTGGAAAATTAGTGAAATTTTGGTTAACAAACTCAGCAAGAAGGTAATTTCGGTTTATTAGTCTGAAATAAAATTAATTTTTTTCTGTATAAAAAAATGAACTTTAATCAGACAAATATTTTCCATTTTGTTCAATGACCATTTGTCATCTTGAACTTTTGGTCTTGAACGCAAAAAACTTAACCAAGTGCAATTTGAGGTCATCGTTATTACTGAAACTTTTATCCTTTAAGAGGCTTTGCAAACTTAAAACGGTAAAAATAAAACACAGTTAAACGCCTCAACCCCTAGAGGCGATCCGAAGAGGCATAATCCCCCCCCGCGAACCCAGGAAGACGATTTTTGTTTCACAGAATCTGGGATTGAAAACACGAGTCAGCAGTGGATGGCTACGCATCCACCGCAAAAGCACAAAGGACAAAGTTTGACATTGACCGTGTCCCAGTGTTGACCAACGAGAGCCATCCTTCCACGAACACCCTTGATATCAATATCATGTAACGTCCCCACAATCAAGGGGCAGACAAGACAGTACCGTATGGTCCCTGCCGCGTCTGAACATCCCGCTGTATAAACGATGGTTCTAGTCACTATGTCTAGAATTTTACCCCAGAAGTCAAGTCTGTCTAGATATTGATTTAGCCCAGAAGTCAAGTCTGTCTAGATATTGATATAGCCAGTACGCCAGGATTTGCCAGTCTCAGTCATCCGAACCCTGGGATAGGTCATTCGAACGTGGTTAGCCCAGGCGATGCTGGTTACTAGCGGGGCCCGAAGACGTCTATGCCGGATTAGGACAGCTAGAGGTATGTGTATATATTGTGCGTCATTGCCCCGTAACTAATCCTCCCTCTCAGAAGGACTAGACTAGAGCCCGGTCTCCTCCCAATAAATGGCCGTTTCCGAAAAATCCGATCCAGCTCCTCCTCAAAGGAGTATAGCTACTCCCGCCAGTCTGGACTTAATGCGTGCTTCCCAAGAAGGTGAGACTCTATAAATTCTTTGCTTCGATCATAATGAACACTGCGTGGCGATGGCGTCCTAAGAAAGTGGTCCAAAAGTGGCTCAGAGAAATTTTTTAACAAAATAAAAAGTCATTTTTTTTAGCAAAATGAAATTTTTGAACTAAATTTTAAATTTTCCTTACTAAATATTTCTCAAAGCATGCATAAACCATAATAATGATACTAAGGTCAGCTTCAAATTTATATTCACACATTGGTTGAAATTTAAAGGTCGGTATCTTCAAGAAATTTCTATTAGTTACACTTCAAATCAGTTGACAGCTAAATATTAAATTTTTAGACGACCATTTATTTCAAATAATTCTAATATGTTAAATTAACAGTTAATTAACTTATTTTTAACTTAAAGTAAAAATAAAGAAATTACGAAATATTTGTAATTGGGATAAAATTTATGAATAAATAATGACAATTCTCTTCTGTTATTTGTTAAATTTTTCTTAAACGTATACAGAAAATCTACATATATTTGCACGCTTCATATAATTATTTTAATATATTTATAATAATTATTTATAATATAATTATTTATAATAATTATAAATGTCTTTATTTCTTAATACAATTTTCAACTACACCTCATGGCCTTCCGATTTTGATAAAGTTTGTAACCTTGCAGAAAATTTAATGCTTGTAGAAACTTTCTTCATTATGAATTGTGGATGCTGTTCCGTCATTCTGGTTCGTTTCTGAAACTTATTAATTTTAAACTGCAGCAAAAATTGTTCACATATTAACGAACTCCCAAACAAAGCGATTATTCTTATTGCAAAAATCCGTAACTGAGCGTATTTAGCTTTTGACCAATACGAATAAAAGTCAATTAAATCTTTAAATAAGATTTATATCATAGTATAAATTGAATAAGCTCCATTTATAGATTTTCTGAGACGTCACTCATATTTATTTTTAATAGTAATAAAATAATACAAAATTGGACTTCAAATCGTTAAAACTTCAAACAGTTTCTTCAAATTCTTGCCTTAATAATGCTAGTTAATTTACGCAAAACACAGTTGGACATCTCCGAATATTATTACACCGCTTTTATTGCATGTACTCCGATCAGCAACTGAGGAACAGAGCCTCAGGCGTTTAACCTTCGTAACAGCCCGTCGGAGATAAAACCAGATTCTTATAGAATCAACTTGGCTAGTTCAGACTTGAACTGAGTTCTTTGGCAGAATCCGCTAGGTTACTGTATTTAACTGAACATATTTTGTAGAATCCACTCAACCACTGACTTGATCGGACCTTCTTCGCTGCTCAGTCTATACTGCGTTGCTACACACTCGAGATTTGATTGCTGGCGGTTACTGCTCTTTCGATTGGTCAATATCTGAAGTCCTGGTTCTCCGAGAATCAAGTGTTACGCCTGTCTATTTACTAGAACGACCAACTAAACTTCTTTGTTCTCACATTAAACGAACAACTTTGACAAGTTTGCTATAAAATTTGCAAAGTAGATGGACAGAGGTAGAGGTATGACAAAGGACATTTCGCTTACTGCCAAAAGTTAATACGGAAATAAAGACCCACCGTGCTAGCCTAACACAATTCTTGACAGGCTATGGACCATTCCTCAACAGACTATGGACCATACCTCAACAGATTCAGACTTAGCGATATCCTTTCTGCGAATTTCTAGTTTCATTGTGTACATACAAGAACTCGGCATTTAAAGAAACCAGCGAACTGTGCCTGGGCAATGTGGACGTCTAACACACTCAAAAACAGAGTAGCCCTTGGTAAAATAGAAAAAAAATCTCAAGACATTGTTTAAGGAGAAACAACCGTAATTAATACTATGTTTGAAGTGTACAGTAAATAAGTAGTAAATTTTCAGTTAAAACTTGCAGTAATTTTGGAAAATTTATGAAAAATATAAAAGAAGTGTTTCAGTGGAAGGTATTCATAAATTTCGTTATGAATAAGTTTCACACATTCGAAAGTTGGCTATATTCGTATAAAATAACATTAAGCGTCTGGGAAGCTGGACGGAACCCCAAAATTTGTTCATTATATCCGAGTGTTTTATTATAAGCCGTGTTCACTATAGAGGAGTTTGACTGTATTTTCATTACCAATAGGTTAATATTTTTCTCTTTTCAGGTGGTCAAAGTGCTCCTCTGTGGGAACAAGCCAAAACTATACGTTTCGATGACACACCCTCCACTGCAGAGCCGACCCAAAACCAAAACTCTAAACCCTCTCTCCAACCCAAACCGATTAAACTGAGCGCCAGTACCACGTGTCTTGCCTCTCCAAACATGTCTTCGACTCCGAGAGCACACGTTAATAACTCTAACAGTCAGACTGTTCCAGATTCTGGACAAGTCCTGCCACTTAACAAGTCCATGTCCAGCCTTACTATCAGTACGACAAGTGGCCGTGCCTTATCGAACACCAGACGCTTGTCTTTAGCTGGTGTCAATCGCCGGACAAATTATTCTGACTCTTCGTCTTCAGAAGCCTCACCCACAGAAAGCCGATCGAACAGCATGGTACCACGGGGTATTGTGGCTAGGCGGATGAAGGCCTTCTGCTCAGAACAGCTTGGCGGTGGCCAAGGTAACGACGGTTCGAAAAGGCAAAGGCATAAAAGTGCAAGGGAACCCTCTAAATCTAAAAGCGACTGGGACTTGAGAAAATTACATGACGATGTGCTATCGCCAGCACGTTACACTGAAAAGAAACAAGAGTTTAACTCATCTCCGTCCAAAACCCTTCATTATGGTCTGCTGAAGCAGAATAAAGAGAAGAGCCATGTGGACTATATGGAACAACTAGAAGCCAGTCCTAATGATCTGCCAGTAAAAGATGGCAGTACAAGTGTAGCAAGCAACTACTTAGATCTAAATACAACGCCGTGTAAGTTGAAAAACGAAATCTTTCTTCATTTATTTTATAATTAGTTTATTATTTAATGTAACATTTGTCGGGTGCAAAAATAGGTATTAAGTAATCAAATCTGTAAAGCAGATGCAAATTATAATACAAAACTAGGTGAACAGTAACGAAACTTCCTTAGAAAACATAAATTATATTGCAAAAATAGATAACAGTAGTGTAACTATCAAAGAAAATGTAAATTGTAATATAAAACTAGATGGGTAGTAACGAAACATCCTTATAAAAAAAAATCGTAATGTAAGGGCACGTATAAGTTAATAATGCATTCATGGCATTTGTAAATTATAATGCAAAAGTAAGTACAGATAACAAAACATTTATGAAATATGTAAATTATACTGTAAAAGTACGTGTACGATAACAAAACATTCATGCTTTAAATTAAAAAGTACGTGTACGATAACAAAACATTCATGCAATACGTAGATTATAATGAAAAAATATGCATAAAAAGAAACAAAATATTCATGGGAAACTTAAATTATAATGCAAAAGTTATTCGTTAGAATATTCGTGGGTCAATAATAATATTAAAGTACTTGTGCGATATCAAAACATTCATGGAACTTAAATTGGGAAATTCATGCGAACCAGAAGTACATATACAGTACTGAAACATGCACAGAAAATGATAAATAACCCAGAAGTGGGTATAGAGTAGCGAACAAAAAACAGGCAAAGGGAACGTGAGTCATAATGCAGACGTTCGTATGCAGTAACAAAACACGCTGGAAAGCGTAAATTGTAATTGAAAAATTGGTTTTTAACAAACTATGAAAAAAAAAAAAAACCTAAATTGTAGTATAAAAGTAAGTATATGGTATCATAGGAAGCGAAGAAAGCTTAAATTATGATGCAAAGGTAAGTAACGCAACATGCTCGAGAAACTTAAATTGTAATGTAAAACTAGGTACTTTATGCTTCTTTTAGGGCTTTATTAAATCCATTATCTTATTATTTTTATCTTTATCGTCATTCGACGTCTGCTCGCACCTAGGTGCAAATTAAATAACGTAAATAAGAGCAGAGTTACTGAATTTAGCCGAGAGCTTTTGGCAGCTACCACTGTCATGAGTACTGCAGATTCATTAGGTTTATTTCGGAGGAGGAAGCATAAAAGAAATTAGCAAAGGCCTCGCCGTCCAGTCTTTCCACTTGCTATCTCGAAGTGCTTCCATTTCGATTACGAAATATGCAGAAGGAAGAACATAAGACTAAGCAACAGTAGGATCTACAGAATTTTTCCTTTCGCTTTCAATAAAACCTTAAAAAAGGTAAATCTTAATTCATAAGACGAAAAACGCTTATAAATTTTGGCTCAAGTCCTCGACTCACTCGAGCCAACACGACCAACAAAGGCATGTTTCCCTTCTGCATGTTTCTTGGTGTAATTGGAAGTACGCCTGCTAGCAATAGGGTGGACCGGACGGTATTTATACTTCATCTTGCGCATCGGACATTGCTATTTATACTTCATCCTCCCAAATAAGCCTAATAAATCTTCAATACTCATGAGATATTTGTGATTCGTTTTGAAGATTTGTGATTTGCGATTTGTTTTAAAGAAGGTTAAAATAACCTTTTTATTTAGTCTTAAACTGAACAAAACAGACACAGCCTGTGTTTTAATAAACTTCCGCTACCTTGCGAATATTTAAACTAACATATAGAAGGTTAAATTTCAGATATGGATAACGTAGTCGGCAACTGCACATAAAATAGACTAATTAAAACTATTGCACATAAAATAGATTAATCAAACTTTTACCAGCGTTTATATTAGAACATCAGCTAGCAAGACTCTAGTTAACATTATCGTGAGGAATAGCATGATGTTAGAGGAAAAAATGCTATAATGGTAGAATGCAGAGAGAAGTTATGGTAAAAGTTTAAATAACAATAATCTGTTAATTGAAATAAAATGCCTAGTTGTATGCGTTCTGTTAATCTCACAAGCAGTGGAAGTAACCCGTCCCTACATGAGTGTTGTGAGCAATGTTAGGCTGAAGTCTCAATAAAAGGCTTTGTTTTAAACCTTCTTCTGAATTTAATGTTATTTTACTGGAGGATTAGAACGAAGCAATAAGTCGCCTGTTGTCTGCATGATGCCAGAGACTAGCCTATAAAACTCATACATTCCGTAAACTTTTCCTCCTACTACAACAAGGTATGTAGTTGTATACTTTCTTTTACACCCGTCTATTTTTCTTTTTAAGTTGAATTACACTGCTGGCCAGAAAGCAAACAGAATAACAGAATTTTGTTTATTGTGCACATGCAGTATAACGGAAAGAACACATGATTAAATATATGTGGTTTGGGGTATATGGCATGTGGAATTCAGCTCACAGGCATTCCACCTCTGGCACCAACAACGACTGGGCATTGAATCGAATTGAGTTTGGATTAGAGGTACGGATACTTCGTTCCAGCTTAAGCCATAGCTCATCAATAGTATGGCTGCCAAGTGGTGGCGTGCCAATCTCTCGGCAGATGTTGTCAGTGAGTGAGAAGTCTGAAAAACATGCTGGTCAGGGCAACGGCCTGATACTCTCTGTATCGAGAGAGCTCAAGACAACACAGGCAAAATTCTATTAATGGCGTAATGCAGAGCTTGAAGATAGGTCACAGCCACGGGCCATAACACGCCAGAAACGTAACAGCGTCTGTCCACATTACTGGCTATACGAACAAGAGATGACCGCGATATGCAGAAGTGACACCCCATACCAACACGCCTATGCAGAACCGATATTTAGCTGAAAAGATGTTGCGATGCCACTTTTATACCCAGTGTCTTTGTTTGGTACACCATTGCAGTAGTGCCTGTCTTTGCTGCATCGTCAAGGGAAGTCGGAGCAATGGTCGCCGTAATGAAGCGGACGCCTTTCGCACTGTCCATGCGAGCACATGTCATCCTGCGGAAAAGCCATGTTCCTGATTTGGGGTACGTTATTGGCTGTACGACTTCACAAAGCCGATAAGGCAGCATGTCTGTCCTTTCGGACGTTAGTGTCCTGGGCCCGCTGAGATACAGCACGGCGTATGGTAAGGAACTTTTGGATCAGTCGATCGATCCATTTGCATGACAGCCATGAATTCCGATCAACACGAGCAGCAGCGTTGTGGAACGATAAACTGCAGTCTCGATAGACCATGAATTTGCCGCGTTCGAATATCGACACATGCTGGTATAAGTTCTCTTTCTTATACGAGGCGTAAACGACTTCTACACAAAACAATCAACCTTCAAATGCGATTTCCAAATCAGAAACCCGCTGTTCTATCTTCGCATCTCTTCATAATGCAGGTGGGGTTACTCGTATCTTCTTCGTGCGTATGTTCTGGAACGCTAATCGTTTGCATATCCCAGCAAGCAATACCTTTCATGCGAATTTGAAGTTTGTTGCATACCGCCTTCATGGTGCGGCAATTTTAATGGCCAGCAATGTACTTCTTTCATGAAAAAATATATTTTCAATGTTCTCTTAAATTGAATGTAACATTACATTAATTGCTTCGTTAAAATATTTTAATTTCTGAATTTTTGTATTTTCTTCTAGTGACAAAAGAATTGTGCGAAAAAGTGTCCGACGATCTTAAGAAAGTCACATCTTTCGCTGTTCAGCTATTCCAAAGGGTACGTATGTGCCGAGTCATTTAATTTAAAGGTAGCATTAAGAAATTCTGCAGCTAGTTACAGAGAACATTAGTTAAAAATGATACTCAGCAGAAAGAGAGAGGAGAGTCTAAATATCTGTGATACAAATGTACATATTTCTTAGACTATGTCTTCAACGAATAAGTATGTTTGGGACATTCTAGGTATAGCATCACAGACAGCCAGAAAACTTTGTCTCAACAGATTTCGTATTCTCAACGACTTCATTATTATGACTCTGTAATTAGTAGATAGTGAAAAAACACGTGATGCTTCTGAGCAACCGTAGCCAAATAAAGGGCTAAAGCTAGAAACTGGATATTACTAGGCTCACGTAGGAAAACTGGTCAAAAATATTTGTGTCAATAATATAGTGGTTTGAATGATTTCCAGATTATACAAGGTATGACTATAAAATTCGTTGAATAGGTTCCTAAACAAAAGATTCTTCCCTGCATCAAGGAAAACGTTTTATATTACTTCCAATGAATGGTTACGAGTTCTAATGCGCTTTTCACGATGATTGTACAGTTTCTGTAAACTATGGACAAAGCCTTCAGATGGAGAACCTTCGCCACATGGCTTTAATTGTCTGAATTATACCAATACCAGCCTTGCCAGACCTAAAGTACACTTTCGATATATAAAGATATTAGGAATTAATTTGAAGTCGAATGCCTACCACTTGGAACAGTGTCTTCTCATCCAAATCTCTTTTATTCCGAAAGCGTTTCAGCCATTCATAAATGCACTTTTAAGATATGTAGCTTGCTTAGCTTGAAAAAGAACTTTAAATTCGTTCTGCGCTTTCTTTTATAGCCACTGCTACACCTTTGCTTGCTAGAGTGTTACTGTAATTATAACTCTGCTGAGGTGCATTCCCGATCGTATAGCTAGAAAAAGACTTTCGGCAATAGCATCCATCTAGCAATTGATGTCTATCTGCCACCCACCCCCAAGTGGATCTTCAGAAGGCATTCATTAATCTTTAAGGTACAATTTTACAAGTCTAAAATTTTAATATAGTTTTCAACATGGTAAACGTGGTAGTTTTCAAACAAGGATCGTAAAAATAACCCTTAATTTATAATATAGTCTACATAGTCTACAGTTCATAATTTTAGTTCATGGTTCTTAATAATAGTCCATAATTCATGGTAATTTTGTTTATAGCTCATAATTTTAGTTCATGTTTCCTAACAATAGCCCATAATTCATGATTTTTTAATAACTCATAATTTCGTCCATAGTTTATAATTGAATTGGTATTTTGAACATAAGTCTAATATATATAATAGTTTTAAATGTAGTAAATAGTTCTAAATATAACGATGTTGTTACTGCTCTGACTAATCTCATTTATCTGATATCAGAGCAAGTCCATGAAATTCATCGTGACAAAAAGGGAAGAATGCGCCTGTCATTTGAAGAATCGTGACAAAAAGGGAAGAATGCGCCTATGAGCCTTGGGCACCATAGAGGTGGCAGTACGACTTTGCTCAATTCCTCCCACCCTCCTCTGCCGCTATCCACAACCTCTTAAGAGGACGTTCGGCTAGCCACATATTTACAGTGCCCCATGCCACACAGACAGTATGCAGGGTGTCCCGTAAATGTTGCGACAAACTTCTGGGAGAGGTAGGGCACGTCATAAGGATTACGAATTGCATAGGAACAGGGAAGTGTACAGGGTCACTTTCCGGAAGTGTCAGGGGTTAGTGGCAGCAGAGGTAGAAGATGGAAAAGGATACAAGAGAGTGATTAATTTGAAACATTATTGGACATGGATAAAGAGGGTTTACGACAGCTTGAATATTACAACAGATGCTCGAAGTTTGCATCGTCAGATGCCAAACATGCCTGACACATGTTCAAACACGTCGGCAGTTTCTTTGATTGTAGCAGCTACACAGGCGAGGTCTTGCCACGAGATCCATTTCAGACATATCAGGATCGTGATACAAGACACTTTTGATGGCTCCCCAAAAAAAGAAATCAAGGCTCGATAAATTCGGAGAGCGTGAGGAGCCAGGGAACCGGTTCACCACGCTATCCAATCCATCGATACGGGAATGATCTGTTCAAATGGTTATGAACATCCAGTTCAAAATGAGCAGGCGCTCCATCATGTTGGAACCACGTGTTCACAAGCTCTCTGATCGTATAGCGTTCCATGCTCTTCGTATGGAGCCTACCGCTCGAATGACGCAATCCTTACTTTCCACTAGCACTCTCCTGTACAACACCCCTTGGCGGCGTACAATGACGTTTCTGGGCAGGGGTTCCCATGCAATTCCTAATCCTTATGATGTGCTCTACCTCCCCCAGAACTTTGTCGCAACATTTACGGAACACCCTGTATATTTACAAACATCCTCGTCTTCTCTGGGATCCTAGCAACAGCAATGACTAGCAGTCAGAGTCACTAACTACTATCCCAGTTGGGCGGCATATAAAAATATTCGTATCATATGCTTTCTATAACAATTGTTTAACACAGTTCTAATTTTGAATAGTCACAGTTATTACATAGTTGGAATTAACATAGTCACAATTTTACATAATCAAGTTTTATCAATGATCTTAAATAAAATATTATTAGTATACAACTAATATATATATGTTACCGCAAAGTTTGAAATCCGACATTCTATAAAATGCCTAGACATTTTACATAATGCCTAAAACTAGCCGGCAATATATGAAATGATTCATAGTTCTCCCATTTCCTGAATGCTAAATGAGAAACCGGAAAAGTATGAAATACATCGTTTCGGAATACCACGTGTATTTCAGTTCATTCAATATTAAATACATTCCGTTTCTGATATCTTTTGTGTGCGTTTGAAGGAAACGAGTGATGCACTTGCATGCAAAAAAAAAAAAAAAAAAAAATGTTGTCAAAAAATTCATGCCTTCTGTGGCCATGCCAGTAAAGATGATAAAAAATGGGTATTTTGTGCACCCTTTGTTTCAAAGCTGAAAATGCTATTAAAGGTAAAATAAATTATAAAATCAATCTGGAAATACAAGCGAAAAAAAACTGATAATGAATTCGGAAAAACAATTTCCCTCTTTTTTGGGAACTGCTGTGCGAGTTCTTATTTCTGACGTCGACAAACGGCGAGGTAATTCACGCAATATATTGTATATTTTTTGATATTCTATATTCTACAGAATGCCAGCGTTTCATACTTTGCCGGTAACATATATAATAGCTTTATCAGGACTTTTTTTTATATTTTACCTAAATAGCATTTGTTATTCTATAGAACGCCTAGGTATTATACACAATGCCTAGGGGAAGTATGTAACAATTTTCACATTTCAAAATTTCCCTAAAAACGTCCAGCATTATATACAGTGCCTAGGCATTCTATAGCATGTCGGCGTTTCATACTTTGCCGATAACATATACGTAAATAATATTAGCATACGAGTAAATACAATAAATTTTGCTACATGTTAGAATGATAGTGCGTATTTTCCGGGCGGGTGGCGTTCGGCCTCCCGAGGACAAATGTCCAGAACCGACTGCCTAGCAGGAGGAGACCTGGCTTTTGATCCGGGACGAACTCCGATACTGACCCGGGTCCGGATGTTTGGAACGGCTGGAACCACTGTAGGCGGCGTGAACCGTGCGCGGAATCGCGTGGCAGTGGGGAAGGCGGAGACCGGCGTTTGACGATGGGCAGGGACTGTGGTAATGGCTTCATGTGCCCTGCTTGCGCTCCACACTCAGCGTCAGTCTTGTGGCCCCGCTGGAAACTATACGGTGCCTTGGTCCAGGCCTTGGCTCGTATAGGCTAATGACGCTGCGCAACCCATCCCAGGGGATCGATTGGTGTGGATTTCTGGTACCGACCATTTATGGGAGGAGACCCGGGGTTCTACCAGACCACTGGCTGGACTTGTGTCCTGACAAGCTTCGATTCGTTGGGTATATAATCATTCTTCACAGGACTAGAACCATAGGTTCATTTTATGGTCCGTTCAGGCTCGGCAGGGACCGTACGGTTACTGTCAAGTCTAGAACCGGGCTGTGTGAAGCGCTACATCGCCGATAGACTTTCTAGTGACGGGATATTAAATCCTAGTATACACGTAACAGTGAACAGTGGAGGCCCGCTCTAGTGTTTTGAGTGTTTTGAGTACATATTTTCCTATATCTTAGAAGCCCTTTTTCTATATGCAGAATTTGAAGAAGGAATGTTATTAGCAGAAATTCGTAATAACCAGGCCATTTTCAAACATGCTATAGAGTATCTGTTAAGTACTTCGTCGTTTTCCTACTACCATGTGTATGCATTTTATCGCGCCAATCACTGGACATTATTGCCCAACTTTGTTTACAAGTTATATGGCTGTTATTTAAAACCAATAACTTTTCTTTGGATATTGCACAAAAGAACTTTGAATAATACGCGCATTAACTTATTATATGCATAAAAAAAACCTGCTATTCGTTAAACTGCATATCATAGAAATCTTTTTTTTTTTCAATTACTGTTTCCTTGTAATCACAAACATAAATCAAACTAAGCAGTGGAAATAAAACTATAGTTAAATATAACAACAGAAATTATGCATTCAATCATTCATATTTATAGCTGTTTCTTAGCATCTGTTTCCAGCATATCTTAACACATGTAAACTCTGCAAACACAAAAAAGAGGACAGTTCTATATCTCTTACTCTACTGAGCCGATTCACGAAATTTAACTTTCGTTTTTCATGTCTCGAAAGCGCGATTTAGAATATATATTAAATTTATGTATAGAATTATTCTAACACAGATATTTTGGCTCAAAATCGGACTTTTTCTGAAATGGCATACCGATTTTTTTTCCATATTTCGATTCAAGACTCAAATAATGCTTAAATGTTAATTTTTGTAAAATTTGGTAAGAGACTTACCGAGGAATTTAAAAATTTTATCTTGGCGCACCTTTTATAGTTTGCGCCAAGAATAATTCACTCGGCAAAATTCTTAATTTATGGTAACCTATTTTCCTTTCCCTTTCGTTGTGCACGAACGGGAGAAAAAAGTGCATTTTGCACTTTCAAATAATTTTAACAAAGTGCGTAAACCACATCTAGCATTATTATACCAACATTTATTCCGAATTTCAATACGCTGGTACTCATAAATTTATGTATATCTTGCGAAATTGTGAGGGGAAAAAAAACTAATATTTTGCAGGTGTGCCTTAAGGTGAAAGGATAAATTTTATAGATTATAATTCAAAAATATTTTGAAACATTTTTAAAGATTATATAAAACAAATAAGAAAATAGCTGCGAATTTTATTTGGATTGAATCTAAATTTCGAACGGTGAAAAAAAGGAATCAAGTAAGTTTAATAAAAAAACCGATATTAATAAATGTCTACCAAATTCAGTTAACATTGACGAGCTAAAATTTTGAGAATTAATTTTTTTGAAAACCGCATGTGCGATTTTTACAAAACTTGCCACTTTGGCATATCTTAGAGTCGCAGAATCGGAATATGAAAAAAGTATCGGTATGTCATTTCAGAAAAAGTCCTATTTTGTGTCAAAACACGTATGTTAGAACAACGCTACGCATAAATCTAACATTTAATCCTAAGTTGCGCTTTCGAAACATGAAAAGCGCAAATTAAATTTTTCGTCAGTCGGCTCAGTAGAACGGCAGATATAGAACTATCCCAAGGTCCCAAAGAAGGTGCATTTGAAGAAGAGAGCTACTTTTAGTAGCTTTAAAAGAAAGATTGGTATGTCATTTAACAACTTCTGAAACCAACGAGTCATGCACTAAGATGATGGGGGGAAGCACCAGGTAGAATGTAGACGCAGGGCTTTCGGATGAACCGCCGATGTCTGAATGTTCGGCCGTTTCCGACGACTTCGTTATGAAAAAGTTGATAATTTATACATCTTTGCATTCAAAACTAAAATATTTACAGTTCTATAAAAGAATTATATACAGTAAACTTACTATACTCAAAGTGAAAAACATATACATACGTATAAAATTAATTATACACAAAACGTTTAAAAACAAATTCACGAAAATTAAACAAATAAATAAAACAGTGTACAAAAAAATATAATGCAATCAGATGATTTTAAATATCTACCGAAATTTACAACAGTTTATATAAGCTGCGATCTGTGGCATCGGATTTTCAGTTTTTGAAATTTGTTTATCAGTGTGTTGTGAAAGTAACCTCATCGTTTAACTTTCAATTGTTTAATTTTGTTTCATTAGGTCACAGTCGACCCCCAACTGAGCACAGCAGAAAAGACATCGATGACAACTACGCTAGCGCAAGGTGTGTGGCAAGCTCAACAGAACTTACAACCCACTGCTTTCGGTGCCAGGACTGCCAACCCTGAAGCACAAACAGAACCTCAAGTAGCCATGATGTTACTTCAGCAGTACTCAGACAAATTACTAAGCTTAGTGGAGCAGAGGATAACGAAAGTTGAAAAATAGTGCTAGAATTAACGTACCTATTCTACAAGACTGAAATATTAATTAATTTTCCCTTCAGCAGCTGTGAAGCCTCGTACTGATGCAATCAAACCCAGATATAACGAAAGAAGCTTCCGTTCCCTTAAAATCTCCGCTGCACTTAATTTTATTTTATAAGACTATAGCGGACATCCAAAATGCATAAAATAGGACATAACGAACGAATGTTTTATTTCTGTTGAATTTCCTCCATACTTAGCATTATTTTACACCACTATAGATAACATTCGAAATGCAAGAAAAGTAGATATAACAAACGTTTTGGTCCGATAGAAGTAGATATAAAAACGTCAAAATTCACAAGACTAATAACGGACATCCAAAATGTATCAACATCGGATGTAATGAATTCTAGGATAAAGCAGACGAACGCTTTAAATCTGAAAACATCTGAAATGCTTGAAAATCGGATGTAACGAACTATCTGTTTCCTTCAAATTTCCCGTAAAATGAATATTCTTTATATGGCTATAACGAACGCCCAATACGTATGGAAGTCAGAAATAACGAGCTTTTTCGTCCCGTCTCATGTTTAATATTATTTTATACGACTAAGCGAAGATCCAAAACCTATAAAAATTGTATATATCCAACTTTCTGTTCCAGCTAATTTTTTCTATACTTAACAATATTTTATTCCACTAAAGCAAACATCCAGAACGTATGGAAATCCAATATAACGAGCTTTTTGGCTCCGTCAAATTTCCCGTATACTGAATGTTATTTTATGCTGCTATAACGAACATCCAAAACGCATGAAAATCGGATATAATGAACAGATGTTTCGGTCTCGTCAAATGTCCTGCGTACTTAAAGTTATTTTATACCTCTATAACTGACAGCCAGAATGTTTGAAAATCGGATATAACTATCTTTTTTGTCAAATTACTTGTCTACTTAAATCTATTACCGCTGTAACGAACATCCCAAAAGAAAGAAAATCCGATATAACAAGCTTTTGTGCCACGGTCAGATTTCTAGTACTCTGAATGTTATTTTATAAGGGCTAGAATGAGCGTCCAAACTATATGGAAATAAGATATAATGAGCTTTACGGCGTAACATATGAATCGCAACTCCGAATGTACAACAAAAATCACGTTTCTCACAGACTATATTTCATCGCCGATTCTGGTGGCGCATGCGCTATTAGACAAGATTCTCTTCTGTCGCCAAGTATTTCTCAGCTAATACAAAACAATAACGAATATTTAAAACGCATGAAAATCAGATATTTGGTGCCGTCAGATTTACCGCATACTTAATGATATTTTATACTACTATAGCAAACATCCCAAACGCATGAAAATCGCATATAACGACGTTTTTTGTGCCCCGTGAAATTCCTGTATACTGAATGTTCTTTTATACTGCTATAACGAATATCTAAAATGTATGAAAATTGGATAATACGATCTTTTTGGTCCCGACAAATTTTTACTCCACTTAATATTATTTTACAAGGTTATAGAGATGATGCATAACTCATGGAAATTAGATGAACGAACTAACGTATATAACGGACGTTTCGGTTCCATCAAATTTCTTGTATACGTATCGTTATACAATTATAGCAGATATTCAAGACGCAGGAAATTCGGATATAACGAACTGTCTAGTCCCGTGAGATTTCCTCTATACTTAATCATATTTTATTATACTCTAGCGAACATCCAAAATACATGAAAATCCATTTAACGAGTTTTATCTCTAGCTTTGAATTTTTCATAATTTTTTTGTGAAATTTTTTAGTGTTTTGGTTGAAAACTTACTAACATATAAAATCATCACCAATTTATTGTTGGCTATTAGGAAAACGAAAGCCATTTTCCCCGCAGTTGCCAAATATCTCAATATCAAATCAAATATCAGTCTTGCCGAAGAGACTTGCGGTTTTTCAACACATTTACCGGTACGTCGCCAAATCTCCCGTTTTTTAATTTTTAGCCTTTCCGAACAATAAATTAAATTTTGTTCCGTTCCGTTTGCCGTTGTTGCCGCGTCTAGCTTGCAAAGATGCAAGCTGTATACCGGCTATCTTCAGTTGGTTGCTTCATGTAGCGGTGCAGAGACAGAAATGATTAAGTCCTGAAGACAAGAAATAATACATAAAAATACAATTTTTGTCTCATAAACTGGAAGACTCTATACACAATTAAACTTATTGAATTAAGGAAACTTAAATTGTGCCAATTTCATTCCCCACCCCTGGCGAATTTCGGCATAATTTATCTTATTTAATTTCATTTGGTAAAAATTGTCTTACTCTACCGTAGACATTGTTAGAACTTTGAAAGGAAGATTCAAGCAATCTTTGAACTGTTAATATATGATTAACTTGTACAATAATTAAATAAATTTAAAAAGTACTTCGATAAATAAAAGCATTCTTTGCGGACTGAAAGTTTTCGCACTGTAAGAGAATTACGAAATAAATTTAGGCAAAGAACAAAAAAATTTAGAAAATCAAACTAAGTAGTAATATATTTTACATTAGAATCAAGCTCTTTATAAATGAATTCATTCCAGTTTAGATTTTTTTTTTTTTTTTAAACTGGCGTTGCTTTCCAACTTGAAAAGCTATCGCAAACGGGACACCGTCATAACGGTGCCTCATCTTAATGCAAGTCCATTGCTAGTTCACATTAATGGAAGTTACTTTCTCCGCGCTCTAAAATGAACTTCAAAAGAGTGCGGGCATCTTTACGCACGTCGGTGACTACTCATTAAAATAAAGACTCGACCATGGGCGCGCCGGCATCTTGACTGAGGTTTCAATCTTCCTGGTGTAAACCGAACTTCATAACGGCGCCGAGCAGCCCTTATGCCTTGATGAATAATGACTAACTTGCAAAGGGTACTCACACTTCTGTTCCAGTCGGTGATTGTTCACTTAGATCTTCAAAGGAAACTGAAGATCCTAACGAAAGTTGCATTTTTTATGGTAAAATTTAAAACTTGGTACAGTACCAGGAACCTTTTATGTCTTAATGCTGAGGCACTCTTGTACCTTAGTGAACTTACAAAAAGGTGACAGCCCATTTATTATGCAGATTAACCGCGCCGGTCAAATCACTTCGATCATCCTTCTATGGTTGCAGGTAATAATAACTGTAATCAAATCTTAATATAACTTTTTTATTTAAAGAAAATACAGTTATGCCTTTCTTTCAGCATTTTCAGCCTTTTATTTCATTTGTGATTTATCAGTTAATTTTTACACTTTTCAGCGAAAAAAAAAGTTTATTTTCTTGTTTGATCTCATATAACGAGACAAACTTCCAGATGCTTGAAACTCGTTATAGCAGGGTTTGATTGTATAACTAAAGTGTCAAATACGTTCATCTTGTTCTAACTTGGAAACAGATACAAATGCCTTTGAGATAGTGATTCTTGAAAGAATTTTCAGATGAGAATAACGCATGGCTTCGTAACAGAATTTTATAACCATTTACAGCTTTTAGAAATATAATAACAAATTTTCTGTAAAAAGGGGAAAACGAAGAACATTCTCGTTATGTGTATAAAGGAACTCCGTATTTGTTTCATTAAGAAATATTATTTTATGTGTCATTCATTCTAACTATTTTGTTGTACGTCTATATATATTTGTGAATATTTAATTAAATCTTTTAAGTTTATTGTGTATATTTACTTAAATTTTGAATTTATCGCCGGCAGAACCTGTTTGGATAAGTTTGCTTTTTTTCCTGACTGATGAAATGGGACGTTCGTTTTAAATCAGATTGACAAACCGAGTTGTAGTTAAGTTTGAATGACAGACTGGGATATTTGCTCAAGTCGAACCAACAAACTGAGACAAATCTTGTCACTACCTGGGACACTTATCTTAAGTCTGACCGATGAATTGAGACACCTGCCTTAAGCCTGACTGACAAATTGGGACATCTGTCTTACGCCTGACTGACTAAACGGGACACCTGTCTTCAATCCAACTGACAAAATGTGACATCTATTTTAAGTGACTGACTAACGGCGACATTTGTCTTAAGTCTGATCGATAATCGGGACTTTTATCTTACTCTTACTGCCTAACCAAGGTATCTGATTTAAGTCTGACTATGAAACCAGGTCATCTCTCAGAAGTCCGGCTTATAAACCGGAATACCCGCCTTATTACTAGCAGCAAAAATATTAGTGATAAAATAAATTACTCTTTGTCCTAAAAATAAATTTTAATGGGGATCTGGGATATAAACTTGGGAGTCTTCGACCTGGCAGCCTTTACTACCATAAATTAGTTTTACCTGTAGGGCAGGCATTTTTGTAATCATCTTAAGATCCAATACGTGAAGGAACATCTGCACAGAAGTACTGGTTGCTGTTTATGTGTGCAACATTACGTGAATGAGTAAGTAATTATTAGTCGAGGCGTATGACAATTATGGCATTTCTTTTGATGAATTATATCATATCTTCTGATGAGAAAACTTGAAAATTGACACTTTGCAATAGTAAATAAATAGGATGAATTTTTGAATAAAAGTGAAATATTATGAAGAGAAAATAAATAACATATATAAGTCCCTAGTTATGTAAGTTACTATGGAAATTTAATAATGGATCTTGGATAAAAAAATAAGAAACCAGAATCATTATTTTATAATATTAGTAATGGCAATGTAAAAATTGCTACTTTCATGTTTTGCAATAAACTGCTTGAAGTATTCTACGAAAATACCCCATTTTTATTCCATATCATCCCAGAACATTCCCCGAATATCTGCAAGTAATTTGGAATATTCCTCACCTACCTTCAAAAAATAGTTTGATTTTCGAAGACTATTCCTGTAATGTTTCGATTAAATTATGTTAGGTTAGTTTATTTGAATACGGTATAGCATACCAGGATATCTACCGAAGGATGGGATACCATAGTGGAGGATATTTAAGGAAAACTAGCTGGTATTCGCGTTACATATGGAGAAAACCAAATATGCCGAAAGCCATTTCGTCTGATTTCGAGCCCAAGACGAAATACTAGTATTCAGCATTATTTAGCCGCGTTCCGAACATAAACCATGTTGAAATATTCTTCTAATATGCTATAAGAAGTATAACTGAAATATTTCAGGGCTTACTTCTTATAATTTCAGGGCTATACTTCTAAGAGTATTCCTATTTTATAGGAAGGAATGCTCTTAGCTTATTAAGAGTATTCCTTCCTATGAAATGGGAATTATTTATACTATTCCTTCCCATCATATTCCATTTATACTATTCCATCCCTATTATTCCTTCCCATCACAAATACTCCTTGACAAGGAGTTATTTGTGATGGTTTCTTGTACTCAAGCCCAAAGAAAATCTTTAGATATTTCTGTTCATAGCGTAATTTCTGGACCCTTCCTAAAATATACAATAATTATCCTTCGCACATTTCTTTCAGTTGAAAAGAGGCGAATAATGGGTTATTCCACGGAATTTTTAGTGCTCGATTTGAATTTTTCTAGAATATTATGAAATATCCACTGGAATCTCTCATGGACATTTTTGTATGGTGTGGGTCATTATCACATCTAAACGCCAAAGGGTATTCAATGCATACATCGTAGAGATCATTTTTATTTTTTAAAGCCAGTAAACCGAAAACATGTGTGACGTTCGACCTGGATTCAAGTGCGGACCACTCTAAGCCAAACGTACTTCAGTTTACACCACATAGCCACCCTGTAAAGAGGGAGAAATACCTTACAAATATCCTGGGAGAACGGCCACCAACGAAAGCTAAAGACAAGTCACGTACGTGACTTGTGCCTCTCATGACATTTAACTCAGAACTTATTGATGATTAGGGAGACCATCGAATTGCTATCCAGAAGCAATGATCGATGAAATGGACAGCGGCTCACAAAATTACCAGGCAGGATCAGACCATCAACCGTGCACTGAAAAGTCAACATTGCCGCAGACGGCAGACATACTAATTGAGAAATTAACTTCCAACAACGGCAAGATTTAGGATGCAAGAAATGTTTCCAATTAATTTTGAAAATTTTATCGTGATTAAATGGAGTCAAAAGCAGAAATGGAGCTCTGTGTAACTGATACAAGGCTTTTAAAGCCTATCATCGAACAAACGATGGTTCTTGTCCAGTGTAGACTGAATGTGTTTCCCCGGTGGCGAATGCTTTAGTGTACTGATTTTTGTTTCCCCGGTGGCGAATGCTTTAGTGTAATTGTAAAAATTACTACCAAAGTCTGAGCGTGAACGTTCGCCATTAGCCGAATGACACCACGTTTTACTTTCATTCATTTCCAATAGGTCGACCTGCAACATGACTAAAAATAAATTTTCAAGATTATTTCTCCATTTACGCAAATTATGAAAGTGAAAACTTTCCCATTAGCTGGTTCACGTCACGTGATCAAGAAATCGCAAGTTTCAACATTCTGCATATCTAAAAGACGGTGCAAATAGTGCATATATGCATTAGAGATTGAATTTTTAGAATTTAAGACCGAAGTGCTTAATTCATTCGCTAAGAACTTTGTGAATTTACAAAATTAGCTTTCAACTTTGGACTTTTCCAAAATAACAGCGCTCCCTTCAGGTATAACGGGCGATTGCACCATAATTCCAAAAAATACAGTGATTGGCCTTAGGACTGTACTAGTCGACTAGTAAAAACTCACAGTAGCTGAAGCTATTAGCAAACTGATGATCCATGATTTATGATGGGTGGCGAGGCTGCTTAGGTACAGATTCTAACCAGCACGCAAGAGGATTACATCCGTCGACACCCAGGGGGGGATATGTTTCTTTTGGCAGGAGCTATATTTACTACTAGAAGGAGTATTATAACAACTTTATTTCAGTTCAAACAATGCAATTTATTAAGGCATCTGACTTGTAATCCCGCGAATTCAAGTCTGAGTGCATTTGAATCACAAGTTATTTTTCCCTTTTCTCGAAATCCTAGAACAACATTCTTGTACACATCTGCATTGAATACAACCTACCGTCTTTGCAGAATCATTTTCTCCTTCAAGCATTCACCACATACATATTTCTACGAATTTTGTATTTAGACAGGTAATTTCAGTTGAATTATAACCAAAATTATTGCATTTACCCGTGCAATTTAGTAGAATTGTAGTTAAAATTATGGTATTTTCCCGTGCAATGCAGCGCTAGACAAATTTTAAAAGAAAGCTATGCCGGAAAAGTAAAAATACAGGGGCACGTACATTTAAAGGGTACCTCGGTAATTTGTATTTAAATTGAATAAATGTAACTGACCACTATGTTAGCTGTAACCGTAATCCCGTCCTCTTATTGCTTTCCAGAAATCTCGAGAAGTAGAAATTACTAGAAATTTCTTTCGACCGCTGAAATCTATAAAATGCCAGAGAGCATCTCATCTCAGTTGTTTAGTTAGCTGTTGTTGATTATTGTTGCGAATTCAGCGTGAGATCGGATCAGCTTTCTCTTTAAATGCGTTGTGCATTGCACTCTATTTAACGTTTTTAGTAGTTAGAAGTATAGCTACTGATTATTACTGCGTGATATTGGGAACACGTATACGAATATCTCTGAGGAAAATACCAGAGTTCTGATATATTTCTTTTGATAAGAATAAGTTTTATTAACCTATTATCGGACTTGTGTATTCAGTGTATTACGAATCCGCACTGAGCACTTTTTGGTGTCAGAAGTGGGATGGAATGCCAGTGACAAAAGCGATGATTGAATAATTAAGGGAGTTGGTGGCAGCACTTTGACGGCAGGTGTTTAAAAGATTACTGCAGGCTTCAATTGAAATCCATGAGAAGCCCACGGAAACACTCCAGGAACTTACCGCGAATGTTGAAAGTCTGTCTAATCTCACATTTTCGTAATGCCTGGCAGAACCAAGAGAAATATTGTCCTTGCAGTACTTCACTTACGGAATCCGGAATCCTGAAGTAAAGAAAGCTCTGCAAGTTGCAGATGTCAAGGACTTAAAAAGCGCTCTAGTCTATGCCGTGAAATTCGAGGCAGCGCAGGAAGCAATTCGCAGATACCGACAGCCAATCAGAGCTGTGTAAGTCCACGAGTCAGTGGATCAAATGATGTCTCCTGTAGATGATTTATCCAGACAAGTCAATGCTTTGATACGGAATAGGAGTGAGAACAAACTGACTCAAAGTGTTGGAAATGTGGTACTGAAAACCACATACGACGGAACTATAGAATACTCCAGGGCACGGAAAATAAAACAGATGATTTAACCAGACAGGTCAGTGCCTTCAAACGGAATAGAAGTGACAAGAACCAAATTCTAAAGTGCTGAAACTGCGGTGTTTAAGGGTATATACGAAGGAATTGCAAAACATTCCAGGGCACTGAAAATAAGACCATTCCGTAGCAGGAACGGAAGAAACAAATTAATGGCCATCTTAGGAAGCGGAGTTTGAAATATACCGAAAAGCCCCATTTTAAAGCGCTTCAGATTTATGTAGTGAGTGGCGGCAAAAACGGACTCTTCATCATAGGACATATCAATGGAGTTCCTTGCAATGTGGTTATCGATACAGGAGCGAATGTTATCATTCGGAAAGATTTAGCTCAACAGTTTAAAGATGAACTCATTTGTAACGCCATCCTGTGTTACCATCCAGACTGTGTCTAGTGATCAAATCGACTTAGATGGGACGTTAGTCTTAAAAATCACGTTTGAAAGTGCCGTCTACTATCACACGGCATATGTGGCAGAGATTACAGATTCTTGTATACTCGGATTGGATCTTCTAAGGAAACACAATTTTTCCTCGGACTTTAAAAGTAACGAACTGCATTCAACTTCTGAGGACATAACTATCCATCATCAGAAGGGATTCCCATCTGGAAATGCCGACGGCTTTTCTGGTAGACCTTGCTCAGAAAGCTGTCGATATCGTACCAGCGCCAAAGAGAAACCTGAGTTGCTGAATCTGGTCGCTCAAGTTACCATTTCAACATCGACTGATCGACAACGATGGAGTGACGAAGAAGTCAGGCAAGACCAGTTGGAAGACGACGATATTAAACCCATAATTTATTTAATGGAGTCTTCAAACAGAAAAACCTGCCTGGCAGGACATTTTGATGTATAGTCCGACTACAAAACAATACTGGGCTCTCTGGGACTCACTTCATATTCGAAACGGTATCTTGTATCGGAAATTCGAAGCGGATGATCGGAAGGCGTTCCGATGGTAACTGATACTTCCAAGATCCCGGATATCCTTAAAGAACTTGTCCTTAAAAAGCAGCCCTACAGGAGGCCACTTCGGAATGACGAAGACTTTGAAGAGATGTTGAAGAGACCGCTTTTACTGGAGTAATGCAATGAATGACGTGCAAAAGTAGTGCCGATCTTGCTGTACCTGTACGGGTTTGAAAGGACCGAAGAAATACAGCCGAGGAAAGCTGCAACGTTGCAACGTAGGAGCGCTTTTTGAGAGTATTGCCTTTGATATCTTGAGACCTCTGCCAGGAACTGCTGATGGAAACAAATACATCCTCGTTGCCATTGATTACTTTTCCAAGTGGCCTGAAGCGTATCCTGTTCCTGATCAAGAGGCTGTCACAGTAGAGAGGTAATAATACAGCAATGGATTTCCAGGTTCGAAGTGCCTCTTCAGTTGCATTCCGATCAAGGAAGAAATTTTGCATGCCTGTAATGAAAGAACTCTGCAAGCTACTCGACATTGACAAAACACAGACAACACCTTTACATCCCCAAACAGACGGCATGGTTGAGAGATTTAATTGAACGAATCTTAATAACCTCTCGTTGGTGGTTTCCAGAAATTAACAGGACTGGGACTAGAAGTCACCACTGTTTTTACTGGCTTATCACAGTGCTTGCCCATCCAAGATGCTCTTGGGTCGTGCCCTTTGTCTGCGTTGTGAGCTTTTGTCTGGTCACTCTCCGGAGGCGCTTTCATTGCCTGAGGAGCACATCTAAGATCTCCAGGCACGGTTTGAAGTGATGCACAAGTTTACACGAGATCGAGAGTCAACTTGGTGACGGAGAAAATGAAGCCCCGATAAGACACAAGAGCTACAGTCCATCCATTCAAGAAAGGAGACGGCGTGGTTGTGGACTCTGATTCAACGGAAAGGACTCTGTCCTAAACTATATTCATCTTGGGATAGTCCTTACACAGTTCTAAACAGGCTGAAGGACCTCGTTGTTCGGATCCGTAAGTCATAGAATTCTAAGCCTACAGTCGTTCATTAAGACAGGATAGCTCTTTGCTATGACCATAGTACGTAGTGTATATAATGTAAATAGTACAAGATGATGGTCCTCTTGCTTCTAAAATTTGTAAATTTGTTCACTCATTTAATGATTTAGTATTTGATTTAAGTACTTATTGAAATTATTGTTTATGTTGTTTGCTAAGGGGCAGTGTTACGAATTTTGTATTTAGGTAGCTTATTTTACTAGAACTGTAATTAAAATTGTTTTATTTCCCCGTATAATACAGCGCGAGTCGAATTTTAAGAGAAAGCTATGCCGGAAAATAAAAATACAGGAGCACGTGAATTTAACGTTAAATAAATGGATATCTGGGTAATTTCTATTTAAATTAAATAAATGTAACAGAATACTATGTTAGATATAACCGTGAGTCCACATTCTTTTTGATATCCAGAAATCTCGAGTAGCCGAAATTACTAGAAATTTCTCGCGACAGCTAAAATCTATAAAACGCCAGATACGGAGCATCTCAGCTCAGTTGTTTAGTTAGCTGCTGTTGACTATTTGTGTGAATTCAGCGTGAGATCGGTTTATCTTTCCCTTTAAATACGCTGCGCATTGCGTTCCATTTAATGTTTTTAGTAGATTAAAGCATAACTACTGATTATACTGCGCGATAGTGGAACACTTGTACAGATATCTGTAAGAAAAATTCAGAAGTTCTGATAAATTTCTGTTGATAAGAATACATTTTATTACATTACATTATTATCAGACTTGTGCTATGAATCTATTACGAACACGTATGCACATAACAATATTTTTTAAGTCATTATTACACCGCCCCTTATTCTGCATTATTTACCAATAATATTGCATTTTACTGCATTCTTGTTCCTGCAATAAATTTTTAGGGATTCGAAGTCTGCGAAGTTGTGACTCGAAACACGAGCTTCTTAAATACCTATTTTATTTCCTCGACTTTATTTGTTTTTTTACTGTGCTGTAGCAGTGTCTAATTTGTTCGGCACCCATAAGTGGAAAATGTAAATTCGAGCATTGCCAACTCGTAAACGAAACACCTCATCCAAACAATGAAATAAATAATAAATGAAATAAATTTTAAAATGGGAACTTTTATGATAACTGTAAATATGAGATGAAATATAAAACATAAATATACCAGGAAACAAATCTGAAATAAGTTTAGATTAATTGATCATTGCATATTACAGAAACTTGCAGCACTCCTTTAAAGCAATTCAAAAATATAAACACGAAATGAAAAAGGAATGAAGTCTACTTCCGCATTGGGGACCTTTGCCGAAACTTCTGCCAACAGTCGACGAGATAATACGTGAGGACCCTAAAAATTTATTATTTGGCCTAAAATAATTTTCGTCGTCAACACAAGGCGCACATCTCCCCAGTTGACAGTGCGCGGCTGAAGTCTGTAAAGGGATTATCACACGTAGCGACGATCCCCGCTAGACGGGACTTTCCTGAGAAACAAGATTCTGGTAGCATTAGTTTTATCGGGAGGATTCCTAGAAAAAAAACCGCTCCGCTGTAAGCGAAGTCCAGCTTAACTACGGAAACAATGCCTCGGCTATGCGGGATAGTTTGAAACTTCACCGAAAATGTTCCGTCTGTAGCTCTCTTCCTGGTAGAGATCAACCAGTCAGACGAAAGTTTTCCTTCTGAAGGATTACATGATCTCTAGCCTGAGCGATTATCCAATATGGTTTGACGTTCAAGTCTGTTGATTAAGTAAAAATGGTAACCTAGCTACGTAGGTTTCGCGGAAATGTGAGGATTCTGAGAAATGTCCCTTTCGAAGTCCAGCCCCGCGTAACGGAAACATGTGTGATAGGAACTTAATTCTCCTCTAAGCGACAAACGTTACAACACTGAAATAATTTGCTGCTCATGCGTGAAACATAAAATGTGCTAAGGTGAGAGACTACTTCCCCAGACAATTCTTCTGTTCTAAAATTATCCCACCATTCGGTTAGTTCCCAAAAATTGAGCTTAGGTTCCTTAAAATGTTCCTCTCCACGGTAATCTTTAGTAAAAGGCGAAAGGTTAACTCGCTTGATGAAGAGAAACCTCAGTACACCAAACTACGTAGGAAAAATACTACATTGATACTTTGAATACTTGTTTGTGTGCTGGTTGCCAGTGCGAATTACCCATTATGGTTTGGTGCCGTGTTCTTACCAGCACCTCTAACACCCTGATTAAGTGAAAAAACGGAGGACAAAAAGTGTCGGTGATCAAGGAGAAGTTGAATGAGTGGCTGGCGGTAAGCAGGTGGTGGTCATCCGCGCTAGTGCTGACCGCCGTGAAAGCAGCTGGGAAAAGAAGCGTGTTTCAGGAAGAGAAATATGAAATGTAAATGTGGGAATTTAGGCAAATATACATTAAATATCCTAAGTAAAAAGGTGTGTAGCATAGGGCCGGATAATTAAAGTCATACCTGAAATTATCCGCGTAATTATCCATATCGTTGGTAGTAACCTTGGTATAGAAATCGTTGTTAATCCTTCCAATATAAGTTTTGACGTCTTCGAGTTTAAAATCCCGTTATTATTAGAAAAATAACGAAGCTCCTGTTATATTTCTCAGAAAATTATTTTGAAAAGTTTTAAGCTTTAAATAATTAAATTTTGAAGCTGTGCACCAGGCCAAGATTGTATAAGTTAAAATTGGAAGAAAAATGGAGGTTTAGATCCAAGGCAAGCTTAGCAAGTCTAATTAAATGGCTTTAACAGTTATATTTGAAAAAACAAGCATTACATTAATTAAGCAAAATACTTTCGTTTTACTTAGCATTTATAACCTATGTGTTTAAAGTTATAAGCATTTACACGAAGAACTAGTAAAATGCGTTAATAAAAATACACTGTTCTTCGCGTTATTTGCAGGTTCACAATAAATGCATCCGTATGAAATCCATATTCACAGATTGAGGAAACAAAAATATTGTTGAAAGTTTATACAGAAGAAATTTCATAGTAATTTTACATGTGTATACGCGTCAGTACTAGTGATAGTATTTTTCAAAACTCTTTCATCTTCCCATTATTAATGCAATTTAATAATATTATTCCGAGCAAATGAATAGTCTTTTATTAGTCAGTTACTTTAGGAATATGGTTTGTCTGAGAAAATATATTTTAATAAATACATGCTCACAAGAATAATGTGGCAATCCTTTAATAATCTATCAGAAAAAGCTGTAACATATTATTTCATGTATAAGTATAATTACACTGACTAATAAATACATTATTGTCATATATTTTTCTTCGAGGTCATTTTTAAACGGCCTAGCTAGATTCAACAATAATTTTGCATTTACCTACATCTTTGTTCCTGCAATCATATTTCAGGGATCCGAAATCTGCGAAGTTGTGACTCAAAACACGAGCTGCTTAAGTACCTAATTTTATTTCCTCTACTTTAATTTTTTTTCACTATTCTGCAGCAGGGATTAATTTGTTCGGCACCGTTAAGTGGATTAAGTCAATGCGAGCATTGCCAACACTTAATTGAAACAGCACATCCACACAGTGAAATAAATAAATAATAACTAAAAATAAATTTAAAAATAGGAGCATTAATGATAGCTGCAAATATGAGATGAAATATTAAATATAAATATATGAAGAAATAAAACACTGTCGATTAATGGATGATTGAATGTTACAGAAACCTGCAGCATTCCTTTAAAAAAATTCAAAAGTATAACCACGAAAGAAAAAGGCATGAAGTCTATTTCTGCATTGGTGTTTTCAGCTGGCAGTGCGCGGCTGAAGTCTGCAATTGTCCTCGAAAACACGTAACAACAATGAAAGAATCATCTGCGCATGCGTGAAACATAGGATCTTCTAATCTGAGAGACTACTCCCTATACAATTCTTCTGTTCCAAAATTATCCCACTACTCCCAAACATTGAGTTTAGGCTTATTAAATTTTTCCTCTCCACAGTAATCTTAAAAGGTGAAAGATTAGCTCGTTTGAAGAGAAACCTGATCATGCTAAAAGGATAAGTTCTAGGATCATATCCTTTCTTCTGGCATCAAATTCTAAGAGTTATAACCAGTAGTTAAACATTTTACCAAAGGCAATTAGTAATTATAATAAAATAAGAGGTGTATTGAAAAATTACACCACACCCGAAGGCGAGATCGATATCATGAGATAAACTCAGTAAATAGTAATCACCAATCATTCTGTGTAGCCATAGGCAATTCAAGTTTGTTAAATCTAAAGGCAAACCTATTTGTCTGACGACGAATGTCAGTAGCAGTCAAGAGGCAAGTATCAGTCATGGCAGCAGCAGTCGAGATGAGAGAGAGGCATCAGTGAGCGAGGAGATAAGTGCTAGTTCACGTGAGTCGAGGAGCTATGGGATTGGTCGGTGCAAAATAAGTCTTAAGTTTCATAAAATTGCTGAATAAAACATAAAATAAGACTGTAGAAGTTCAAAAAGGTGAATTTGAAGAGATAATAATGTCCTTATTCTTCAGAAACACAATTCGGGTACAGTACAATTAATTAATCATGCTAGGAAATTTATTTCTTTAAAGTTGCAGAGTAAACACCACGTGATGCGAGGTGGCCAGTAGCTAGTGAAGGAGTCATAAGACCGCGAACTAAAATTGTTCACTGTAAGCAAATAAACTTTGTTATAAAACACTACGCAGTACTAAATAAATTCTTGGTTAAATAGAAATATTAAGTAAAATAAGTAATTAATATAAGTTACAATCAAAGTCCATAAGCTTGTCAGAGAATAGTCCAAAATGTAAGCAAAACTTGATTAAATGAAGAGTATTAAAATACGTGAAATAAGTAGAATAAAATATATACACTGTACACTACCACCATAATGTATTATGATGTATAGTTCGCGGTCTTTTTACTACATGTTCCTCTGTGGGATCATAGTTTGTGAGTTCTTTAAAAGCCGGGTATTGCGAGTTTTTCATTTTTTTAAAGAAGTTATGTGCAGTTGTTAGTATTTGATCGTGAATCGGTAGAATCTTTAAATCCTTATGAATTTGCGCGTTACGCACAAACCAAGGTGCATTGGTTATGCTTCGAAGAATCTTATTCTGTAAGACGTTTATTTTCTGGCGTTCAGTTTTTCCAGCAGTCGCCCATGCAGGAACTGCATAAAGTAGAATTGGTCTGATGAGGGTGATGTAAAGTTTTCTCTTGGTGTTTAGATTTAATTTAGATTTCCGTCCAAGCAGGGAGTAAAGAGACATAAATGCTGCACTAGCTTTATTGATGGTATACTGGATATGATCCTTGAAATATAAAGCTTTGTCGACGTATACTCCTAAGTATTTATATGGGATTGCTACAGGAACTGGTGAATTATTTAATTTTATATTGTAGATAACAGGATAATTTTTCCTGTATCTGTGGTATAAAACAACACAACATTTAGATGCATTAAGTTTAATTTTCTAATCTTTATAGTATTTGTTGATTGGTGTCCGCTGATAACATTGCAGCAAAAACATCGCGGACGAAAACGTGGCGGAGAAAACAACGCAAGGCGAAAACGTCGTGCTACAAAACATCGTGGGAGAAAACATCGCAAAGAGAAAACATCGTGGTACAAAACATCTTCGTCGAAAATAAAGCGGTTCAAAAACTTCGCAGTTAAAAAACATCGTCGTCGAAAATATCTTGGTAAAAAATAAAATATCTACAAACCATCGCATGTCGATAACATCGCAGACATGCATTTTTCAGGTTTTAATAATTATAAATGGATATTCCCATAATGATTTGGGAACGCAAGATATAAAGAAGGATAATTTTTACCTTCTTTCATTTTTCACATTCTTTTATTACCTAATAAATTTTTGCTGAAAAAGTAAGAAGGAAACTTAAGCATAGAAAATTAAATGCCACTTATAGATTATACTTCTTATGAAAAATTACCAGTAAAAACTTTACAAATAATTATTTATTAATGGCCTTTGTTAGTTAACTATGTCAGTTTAAAATTCCATTTAAATGTGTAAGTGGCATTAATTTTCTATGCTTAAGTTTCCTTCTTATTGTCTAAGCAAAAATTTATTAGTTAAAAAAATATGAAAGTAAAAATGCCATGCTAAAGCCTGAATAAAGCATGTCTGCGATGTTATCGACATGCGATGGTTTGTAGATACTTTATTTTTTACCAAGATATTTTCGACGACGATGTTTTTTAACTGCGAAGTTTTTGAACCGCTTTATTTTCGACGACGATGTTTTGTACCACGATGTTTTAGAACTGCGATGTTTTCTCTTTCCGGTGTTTTCTCCCACGATGTTTTGTAGCATGACGTTTTCGCCTTGCGTTGTTTTCTCCGCGACATTTTCATCCGCAATGTTTTCGGCTGTAACCTTGTTGATTAGATTAACTTCCATTTGGAGTTTGTCAAGAGCATTTTGTGGATTTCTTCAACTGGTTAAGGTAACTGTATAGTCAGCACATTTATAAATACTTGAGTGTAGTGGGAAAGGCATGTCATTTATAAAAATAATAAAGTATTTCGGTCCTAAAACTGAACCTTAAGGTTACGCACCGGAAAATCGTTTTTCTTGATGAGAGAACTTCAACGCATCTTACTTAAACGTGCATCGGTAGAGATAAGCAGTAGGCAGAAGGAAATTTCATAATTTGTGGAGTAAGCCAGCATGCCAAACTTCGAAGCATACCAAGCTACCTACGAAAAATATTACATGTAAAATGCCTTACAATATACTATAGTGGTGGTAATCAGATTGTTTAATCAATTTTCCTATGCTATCCACTTCGATGTCTGTCGATTTCTGCGCTAAATTAATGCATAAGGGCACATTTTATTCCATGAAATCTGATCAAAGATTTTCAATCGACGCGTACAAACACTGATTGACAAATAATTCATATAAAATTACACTAAATAAACTAACAGTTTCAACTGTTAAAATTCATGTAATATGACACTTGATAAATTACGAATTTCAATTGCTTTTCTTTATACACATTTGATGCGGAAATATTCATTACTTTTGTGTTATTTCGGTTATTCTTCCAATTCATAAAAATGTACAGCAGCGTAC